CCAAGGGGGCTAACATGGGCTAACTATGCTTGCCATGTCTAAGTCTCTACCTGAAGAATGCCAATTCATCCTGGCTCTTACTCATCTTGCTGTGTACCAAATCTCTTTGGAGATCACACAAGTCGCATCAAAGAAAAGAATCTACTACGTGGTCCCAACCTCGGATGACACAAAGACTCCATGTCTGCAACCGACGTGATGACATCAACAGTCCCACTTCCCAGAATGCGGCAGCGTTCCTGACTGTTCTGAACAGATTTGTGAAGCTTCAAAGAGATGTTTGAAGATCAGGAATCAAAGGCCCGAGAAAGAATAACTTCCCACGTTCAGGATTCCCAGGATCCCAGAAAGGTCTAAGTGATCAAAGCCCCTCAGCGACCTAGAGAGTTGCAAAAATCCCTTGACAACTCCACATGTGAAGCTGCTTGCTACGTAGCTTGAACTTGTTAAGGTGTATGTTTCGGAACAAAAAGAAAAAGAAACACGTGCTTCCCAGTGGTTCAATGGGGAAGAGAAAAATGCGGTGTTCGATCTGCAGAACCCTGCAGTCCACACATGTCCACTCCGGGCCGGTCCACGGCCGATGGCCGATGGCCGGTCCGCGGCTCCGGGTGCGTAGAAGAGCGAGCGGAGCGGAGCATCGGATCGTGAATGATGGGGAAAGAAATGGATCTCTAGGGTTTCGAAGACCAGAAGACCCATTCTGGACTCATGGCTGAATCAGCGGAATCAGCGAGCCCAGCGACGTGCTTCGACCAGTCACAGGGAGCAACACGTCGACGTGCCTGGCACGGAAAAAGAAAGTAGGGACCTGCCGTCCTTGCAACGAATGAGCCGTCCTTCCCACGATTGAGCCGTCCCTGCTGAAAACTAATATGGACACTGAAAACTGCTGGAGAACAGTCTTTCAGTCAGGGTGCCAATGTTAGTTTTTGGTAGTAAGACCCACAGCTAGCCCCGCAGTCCAGGAAGCCCAGAAAGATCCTTCCCCAGGTGATTGAGAGTGAACATACAGGTGCCAACCAACCTAAATAGGCGAAACAAATCTCCATCATGTCTTCGCCTCAAAGACTGTTCCAAGTTCAAGTTGCTAGGTTGGAGGCCATCGCCAGCTTCCTCGTTCACCCCCTCTCCATCTCCCGTCCTCCACGCACAGGATGGCCCGAACGAGGTCCGGACCTCCAGGGCCGGTCGACCGAGGGTGTCACGGGGTTCGCCGGTCGCCCCACCGCCGCCATGCGGTCACGTGGAAGATTCTTGGGCACCATGAGATGCAAAACAGAATCAAGATGAATCAAGTAAAGCAATAAAACCATGTCTGAAAACGGAAAAGATCAGTCCCTACAATCCTTGCAGCCCCTCCGTTCACGGAAAATACATGAAAATTACACATTCTGGATGTGCACCTACTCTACCATGTTTGCCTGGGTGTTCAGGTTTGGCCCCTCTTCGCAGACTTCACGTCTTTCTGTACCAAAAGGAGTCCACCCAACTTGTTTAAAGGCTGGCAAGTCAATTGAAAGTCAGTGAGTTTCCCACATCGCATAGGTCATCAGCCACATATGGGGCCAGTAGAACAATCTTCCCCATGCTGGGGTCAAGAAACCAAGAAAGAAGTGAAGATTCTCATCTTCACATGTCTTCTGTGACATCCAATTTTCACGCGGGGAGTCTGTCTCACGTCCCACCACGACCCCACCGACCCCCCTCCAAGACCCCGGACGGTGGCGCATGAGAGCCAAGTGCAACATGCTCCGGCGGAGCCTGGGTCGATGAAGCCAGTTGTGCGGAGCGTCGCACCACCAAAGGTCGATCCAATGAAGCGAAGCGATGGAGCAATCCCTCCAGGACTCCAACTGGAGGAATGCGAGGTTCGGTCGAATGCATGATTGCTCCTCTATCACTCCCAGTTGGAGTCATTCTACGGAACCTCCAGTTGATGGAGTCCCAAATGACGTGGGGATTTTTCTTTTTGAACACGAATCAATGGAGGGGATGTAATCCCTCTCATTGGGTCCTATACAGCATTGACAACAGGGCCGTTGTCCAAGGCCCCTTGTCAAAAAGACCATCCTCAACCTTGCTCAACTCAAAGGAGTTGTTGTGCTCTGAATGGTTCGTCTGCACAGATCTGCCAGAAAGAGTGGGTCGACACGGTTGCATACTAAAGAATGTGCATATACAAACACAAAACATCCTGACTGACCATCTTTGTACCCCAGCTTCAATCTTTAAAAAAGAAACGGACTTCCACGTCGTTCGCCAAGCGCAAACCCAGCACAGCCAGGCCACCTGTGCTCCGTCTCACCTCAACCAAACCGGCAACCCAGTGCGCTCGCATCGTCCGCCAAGTCGCGCGTCGAGCTTCCGAAGCTGCCAGGACCTGTCAGTTGCGAGGCTTCGTGGCTGAATCTGCCGGTGGATTGGGATGTGAATGGCGAATTGGGGAGATGTGAATCATATGTGAATCATTTTTTTGGGGGGAAAGTGGGTTTGCTGCACCTTTCTTGGAGGGAGTGTGAACCTAGATAAACACATGGGCCCTAAACTGGAGCAATCACATCAACCCAAACGCAAAAGGCGCCCATCATGGGCTCACCGGACCCCCCCCGGATCTGGACGAATCGTCGTCAACCCCAAACGTAAGAGCCGTCCGCATTGCCAAGAAGAGTCTTTCCTTCTTCCTGAAGAATGTCTTCCTCGTTTTTTTTGGGGGGTCCATGAAAGCATTCGACCTCTCGGAGTGGATGTCGCCGCCCCAAAATGCTTCGGCCCGTGGATTTCAATCGCTGGCACCGCCGTGGCTGGCGACGCGGTGCCCCGAGGTGTTCTTCACTTCCAGGACCGAGACACAAAGGGCGAGATGGGTGAGAGTCTTGTCTTGAAATGGGTCACTTGTTGTAGTGCCCAGGTCATCAAAAGAAGTTTGACTATATAGAATCATGTACAGTAGATAGAAACCAGTGGTTAGAGGATGTTAGAGGTTTAAGCATGTACACTATTTATAACATTCTAGAGACCAAACATTGGAAGGTTCAACTTGGCCCCCTCTGCGTCAGCAGGCTGCAAACCCAGGACCCAGTCCCCACCAAGGCTTTCTCGTGTTTTCGCCACATCGGCTGTAGCCGGCGATGGGTAGCCTTGGGCATCTTCACATCCAACTTGGAGTAATACCCGAGGATCAATTCAAGTCAAAGGTCCATTGACTTGTAATCATACACAGCAAGAACTCCTAGAAGATAGAATGTGGAACATGTAAAAAAAGAAGAAACAGCAAGTTGTTCAACAGTCTGGTCACCGGTCTTGGTAGATTGTCCCATACCACTACTGTGCTTCAGGATGATGAAAGTGCAGTATATAAGTGCTCAAAAACTCAAAAACTGTGGTGAACCAAGGTGAAACCAGGTTGGAATCGCAAGGCCAACTGCTTAACAGTACCGTAATGGGTTCGATGCTACTGCATGAACAATGGACCTGTGAACCCACACGCCCGGTTCATGCGTGAAATGAAGAGCGCCCAGGGACTTCAATCCCAACCGACGACGCCTCGCTGTTTCAGATGTTGACGTTGAAGCTCCCCTCACCCCATTCACTGCAAAAAGGTTGTACTTTCAAGTGTCGCACTCAGAGGATGCTAGAAGAACAGCAGCGGCACACTGGTGTGCCACTGCTGTTGGTCTTCTCAAAATCATGCCATGGAAGATCCTTTTGGAGCGAAAATGGCCTGCTGAATCAGCTTTCGTTTCACACATCGACCCGTGCATGCCGTCCGCTTTGTACAAGATCATGTGGAGCAGCGGTAGCTGTGGAGCATGGGACACATCCCAATGATCAAAGCCGCCAATTCCTCATGCAGTTGGGGAGTCAGGGAACAGCCAAAATCATGCTCTCGGAGCCTGCATTTGCATTTGTTGAGTTGACTGGCTGAACATGTTGATCATCAAACTGTTTTTGAATGTCACCGCATTTCTTGCATCATGATGCATGATGTTCTTTGGGAATTTAACCAAAGTGCATCTCGGGGCACTGCGTGATGAGACTTCATTGAATAATATTGAATACATAGGTGTAATCTTGGGTGCAGCAACGGATATGACGACCACAAGTCGATATCCCATCAAAACTGTGTTGGATCTGTAGTCTTTGGGTTCCTGAATTTGTAGATTCATTTTGAGGTCCCACGAAACCAGAAAGAACCGGAAGCACGGAGAGAATGTTCTCACAATTGACCCCAGGTAGTGATTCATTGTTAAGCCATACCATTCTGAAACCTGACAGACCTTGATTTGGGAGCAGCCACCGCCTAAGTACAGCCTTTTCCTATCAGGATGCCGTATTTGTTTTGGCATTTGATCGGTGTTTTGTTGAGTTCATGTGCGAGCTGCGAGCTGCCCAATTTCTATAGCTTCTTTTCTGCGGTCCATGTCTTGTGATGTTTATTTTTCTGGTATACAGTACCTTTCATGTACTGTTATACTGTATACTGTTTCCTTTGCTTTAACTGTACGCTTCTTCCAGCTTCGGCTGCTGACTTGGGCTGCTTGGGCTTCATACGTCATCTCCACAGGTCTCGTTGGCTTCTCGCTGTCGCCTTCTTTGGGACCGGGTGGTCCAACTCCCACGCCGATCCTCGTTCCGAGGTACTCGGCCATCTGCGGCACTGGGCACCCGTTTTCTCGGCTGGACTCCCTGGAACTCACATGGAAGTGGAGAATGGCCCCATAAGGAAGACCATGTTCCACTACAAACAGGTGGTGAACTCCACGTAACCACGTTAGTTCCAGGGAGAGTAACAGAGCTGGGGTGTGGTGGATACCGCTGCAGCGCAACAGGAGCGAAACAGCCTTCGGGAAAGAGTGGGGAACCCACTGAGGATCCAGCTGTATGCCAAAGCCATAGAGTAGTCGATGAATATCCAACAAGCATGGTCACCTTGGAACCCTGGTTTGATTCTACATGTCTTGCATGAAGGTGTCAGATTTGACGCAGCATAATTGGCTTCGGATCACCTGCGAGCCAAGCTCTCCTTCACCACCAACGCAACATCTTTGCTCGACCAGCCAGCCTTGCAAAAGGGACACCACGGGACCTTGGGTTGGTAATGAATGGTACATTGGGGCCTGCCTTGAAAATGCAGAAACACCGTTTGCGCCAGCATTGGGCTCAAAACGTGTTCAGAACGACGCAATTCAAAGGCCGTCCAGGCAGGCTTCAATCAGCTTGGAATCCTTCAGGACCTTACTTACGCAAAAGGTCGGCTGGGAATGTGTCACCTGGCACCCAGTGAGACCAACACCTGTGAGAAAAAGAATGTGCTGAGCCAAAAATAGAGTCACCTGCCACAGGCGTGGGTTCTCGATCTTGCACCACATGTCCTCACATTACACAACCCCTGCCCTATGGGCAGGTATAGCATCTACATGGAGGATACATAGAATACGAAAAGGAAACTTATTATACTAATTGAAGACATGCAAAAAGACGTTTGTGGCACTGTGCCAGGCGCACATACAAAGCACATGAAAGGTCAAGTCGCAAACATCTATGTATATATATATATATATGAACTTTGTTTTGGATGTCACACTTCAGACTGTCCAGTTGCAAAGTCGGAGCTTTGGAATTGCATTTCAGCGGCGCATTAGTCTGAAATGGGGGCTTGATATCGAGAGCTGTCATCTAATCTTGGATGGTTCGCACTATTAAGTCTTGATTTGGAAACAGCTGGACAACAAGACCCCAAAACATGACCTCTTTGGCTCCCCTTTGGCGTTCCCTTTCCCACCCCGATGCGAAACCCCTTTGTCTCCAACCGAACCACCGGGACACCCACATGGTTTCGGACCCGGGTAGGTATGGGACTCAACGGACCGAAGGTATGGCTCAGACCTGGTGGTCTGGTTGGATGCAGAGATGTCATCTCTGATCCAGAATTTTCAGATGATAGACTGATAGACTGATCCCCTGAAACGGTTTTTTTGTGCCGCATGGCGAAGATGAGGGCCATGATTTGATGATTCTTTCTCATGAGGGCCTTGATTCTAACTGATCATATCAATGTGACCAATGCCAATGTCACCAATGTCACCTGACCCCCGCCTGCCATACCCAGGCCCAACACCCCCTCCCCGCCAAAGGCCACGCGGCTCGTTGTCGCACGCGCGCATGAAGTTGGGAGAGGCCGCTGTCACACTGAGCAGTGCAGAATTCCATCGGGTTGTGAATCGAGGTGGGTGAGGAGTGCCACCCATGGGTACCCCGCCATGTCCGACGTGTGGCCAGGGTAAGGAGTCGGAGCGTTTTCTGCGCCGTCGGGGGGTTTTCCGCCGAGAGCCTCCTGGCGGAGCATGGTTCAAAGGTTGCATGAGCCGAGCAACCTGGACCAGCTCGCAGGATGCGTGCTTGGACAAACAATGAACAGGGTTATGTTCGTGTCAGTGCAAAGTAGATCGACTGCTGGCAGTCTGATATCCTTTGTGGGTGTGAGTGTTTGCATTTCCATGGAAAGAGTCGTTTACACAAACGTGGACTTCTCCAACAAGCCAACCGTTGGCAAGTGGAGGGTGGCCACCATGATGGCAGGAGCCACCACTTGTTTTTTGAGCCCCCAGCTACTCCCTTGAGCAATGATTTGGACAGTGGTTTCAGTGAGGCGGGCAAAATATTGCAAAATGTCAATCATGCAATGATTATGGTTTCAGTATATAGTAAAGTATGTGGTTCCATTGATCAGTTCCCTTGGGCATGTTGGAATCCCAACTGAACCAGTTCCTCCGTCTCCGACTTTGGGGGGGGAGTGCACCGGGTTGCGCCCGGCGCCAGTAGCCAAGCGTCTGCTTCCGCCTGGCTGCGCTTGTAGGGGCCTTGACGACGGCCGGGGGGGGTGATTCCTTCGCTCGTTTGGACGGTCCAAGCGGAAGGAAACAAGTGGTAAATGTAATGGTGTCCGATCTTGACTGTTGTTCCTTAATATAACAACAGTTAGAAACATGTAAGCCGAGTTGAGTAAGGTATGCTCCAGTTTTACACTTCCTTCGTGTGGATGGAAGTCATAAGTTTGTAGAACGCAAATGAATGCGATGGCAACTCCTTCATGTTTCTTTTGCCCAAGCTGGAAACCCATGCGATTTGAGAGCCCTGAGTCAACGCGTCTCGCGTCGACTATTCATCAAAGATCTCTTGGCGGTCTCACGGTCTCATGGGGGGGGACAAAAGGATACAGTTCCGGTACCTATGCTTCTGTTTCCGAGTCATTCCGGTTCCCTAAACCCTCCAAAAAACATCGTGGGATTCTGCTTTGTGACTTCGTTGCTGTGTCCAGTGTGAAGCCACCCACCTCTTGACCGAGCTACGTAGCGAGCGCACCGTGGCAGAGACGTTCTCAGGCGAGAGATTCCTCGGATCTCTTTTCGGGTTCCCAGTCGTGGAACGGGAGGAGGAGCACAAAGAGTCACAAGTCGTGGATCTAAAACAAATTATCGCCGGGGAAACATAGTTCGAAATTCTTATTCAGATCAACAAAAAGGGTTGAAACGGCCTTCACAACTTGTCCAGAGCTTTTCGCACAAGTTTACACCTGCCCCCAACAGCATGCAGAGCCAGCGGATCACAGAAAGACTGTATTCTCACAAAAGGACCTGTCCCTGATCTTTACACGTCCTGACCACAGTAATTGTTATTTGCGTTCTCCAGTCACCAAAACATAACATGCACATGGACAAGAAAAAAGAATTAGCACTTTGACCGATACATGTCACGAATGTGTGGCTGTGATTTGCAGATCCTCAGAAGGTACATTGATGACCTTTTGCTTCGGGCTGGTGATGTGCGAAGTCTGGTTGAAAAGGCGGAAAGTTGGCATCCTTCGTTGAAGTTTCAGGTTTCTGGTGAAGTGGAAGTTCCTTTTTTGGACTTTCACCTCAGCATTCTGCCCAATCGCCGTGTGCATTGGAAGTTGTTTGAGAAACCCCAGAACCTTTATCCTTATGTGCCGGCTTTTCGAATCACCCTGCCAGTACTTTTGCAAGCCTGCAGTTAGGATGAGCGATTAGATGTGAAAGGCGGAACCGTCTTCCTTCTGACTATGCTGCAAGAATTCGGTCTTTCAAGCGTCGTTTGAAAGATAGGGGTTTTGACCTTGCTGGCTTTGATCGTTTGTTAGCTCGCTACAGACCAAAGCGGATGAGAAGGCATGCTGCACCTGGTTTGGCACGGAAAGCCTTTTTGAAGCTGCCATACAACAAAGACATTTCTGCCGGTTGGGTTTCCCAAAAGCTCCGACAATTTGAGCCATTGCTGCGCCAAAGTGGTCCAGCATTGAAACTCATCACAAGTTGGAGTGTTGGGCGCAGTTTGTCCCAAAGTCGGTACAAGCAAGTTTGGAAATGTTTGGTCTAAGGGATTGGCTGTGGGAGGGACCAAAAAAAAGATTTTGGTGTTCCTCGTGAACGAAGGACATGATCACAGTAAGTTTCTGCATGCACAGAGACAAAGCTTTCTAGGCTTTGCTGCATGTTGTGTGTGTGGTTGGGCTCGTCTCGCCCATCTAAAGCAAGACCATGACCGCAGTAAGTTGCTCCGTTCTAAACTTTGATTTCGTGGTAGGCCGGGAGATCATCCATGCGTAGATCTCGTGGCGCAGGAGGGGGCTTGGGGGGGAGGGCGGTGTGAAGAAACAGTTTCTGCGTTAGCAAGGTGTGTTGTAGGGTTCGACAAGAAGACTCATGTGACTCATGGGTTCAAAACAGGCTCATTGGTTTAAAACGAAGCCTCGCGAATAAATAAAGTCTGCTCTGTTCCTAGAATTGGCCCATGGGTTGTTTTTGAAAAGTGTTAACACAATAAAAATGTATTAATCAAGGATCAAAAGGTTTGCCTCCTTCCTTCCTTCCCCTTCCCTTCCCTTTCATTATCTTTCCTTTCCGTGTACATTCCGAGTCTTCCATCAAAATTCTCACTACTGGGTGGACCAACTTACATCCGGTTTCTTTCAACCAACGACTGGACCTCCACGAGTCATGGGCATGAAATAGAAGTATTATCTGCATCATCAGGATCAACAAACACTCTTTAAAATCAGGATCAATAACAAATTAACAAGGAAGGAAGGAAGAGGAAAGGGAGGGAGGGAGGGAAGGAAGAGGAAAGGGAAGGAAGAGGAAAGGGAAGGAAGAGGAAAGGGAAGGAATGGGAAAGGGAAGGAAGAGGAAAGGAAAGGGAAGGAATGGGAAAGGGAAGGAAGAGGAAAGGGAAGG